CGGAGCTATCTCAGCCGAGAGGCTGCTTGTTTGTTATCATGTGGAAATAATTTTGACTGTGAAAAGTCAGCTTTTGGAGGTTTCTATTTTAGAACCTTATGCAAGCATTTCTCTTCATTGCACTATTCAAAAAAAATGTCTGATTTCAACAAATGAGTACTAAGGTGAATGTTGCATGATAAAGTGACACTATCTTCATAACTATGTGTGTGTCTATCAGCCATACAAGAAAGCTTGCATAGCAATTATTTACCAGGAGAATTGCTAAAAAACACTTATAGTCCTCTTGGCAGGATTCTTTTTAACAATACTGTGAGTGTTATGTTTTCTTGAGTGACTGAGTATAACTTTTGTTGAAATGCTGTTTGTCTTATACCTACATCCTTGTGTAGGGTTCTAGCTATGCTGACACTTGCATTGCACACCAGGTAATTTATTTCTAAAGTATTCACATTCATTTGGCATGACAACACAGTTATACATTTCTGTAAATTATACCATTACTGTGCATGCTTATTAATATTAACACTCTTCCTGTACAATTGACCTTCATTCACCAAGTCTCAAGTACATTGTCCATTCACTACTGAACTTGAAGGAGTTGTAAAATAGGAATAACTTTTTGGATCACTGCTATGTTCTTTTCTTGATTGTCATTTTTAGTTGCCATCTAAATGTGCATGGGTTTGAATACCATTCAGACTCTATATATTGCAGTGTATTGAGTTGATGTAACATTATCAATGGTCTACATGGTCATAACCTTGGCCTCAGTCTCAGACCTTGACATGGTCATAACCTTGGTCTCAGTCTCAGACCTTGACCCATCATGACAATAGGTTTCTTTCAAGGTGACTTTATACACTGGTGTATGAAATCCAGGAAGAGTGTTAATTGCTAAATGTGAATATGGGCAATCTATTTTCTGCCAGCTGGCTAGCAACCCTGCTAATGTCCTTCTTGTCATCCTTGGTGTAGCTTTGTATTCAAGCATGGCTTGCAGTTAAAGTAGTAGAGGATCTTGTATCAGTCATTTAGAATATCAGTTTTATTAAAACAACTAGCGATACAACAAAAATTACTGCACAACATACTCTTAAAATAAATGTGATATTATTGGGTCTCCTCTTTATCTATTTTGATGTATATCCATACAAATGTGTTTATACATAGATATAATGACATTGATTAGTATGGAAATACCACAAGATATGATATTGTTACATTAATAAATATATATAGGTTATACTAAAACTAGTTTCAACAAGTCCTTACGATATTTAGTAATTATGATCACATCTATATATTTTCAATCATTCAAATTATATTATCCAACCATATTTGGTATTTTACTAGATAATGATCAAGTGTGTGATATCTTATTTATTTAACAGCACAGAACTGTATCTAGTTTTTATTGTCATGAATATGTGATAATATAACACCCAAATGTTGATAAACTAGTTTTTGTTTCCTTACTTCACCTGTAATGTTTGCAATAATGCATCTATTGCTTTTTTTGTTGCGGGTTGCTTGTAAAGTGGTGTTGCCATGGGAATATTTTATTACTCCCAAGAAAAGAAAAAAAAAACTAATCTTGGAGGCTTACTTTCATTGGCTATTGAAGAGATCCAGTATCAATATTTTCATATTCTTTCAGGAGCGTGACAGAATTGCACCAAAACTTCATCTCCATGAATCTGTTGAAGAACTGAAAAAATTTAATGCTCGTCGTAAATTGAAGGCAAGTTTCATTTATTTGTTATTACTGTAAATCGATTTTATTTTTGCATTTTTTCGTTAGTTTTGTAAGTCGGGTAAAATGTGAAATTTTGTTAGTGGTCATTTCATTGGGATCTTTGAGATAGTGAATCGCATTGACAATTATTTTAGTGCAAAAATGTATACAAGCCAAAATGATATCATTAAAAGTATTTTTAGCACTGTGTAACAGGGCTGTATATGTTAATCAGGATTTCTGTGTTCTTCACAGCTTACATATATATATTCTGTCAAAACAACAAAAAGTTGTCATCACCTGTCAACTCCCAACTGTATAGCCATGCTTTGGCCACTAAATGTTCACAATGGTTTGTTAGTATGTAATATTTCATGTTTTATTGATGTTTATTTTCTGTCAGCAGGGCGCGGTATTGGCCGCAGTGGCTAGCCATAAGTTTACTAATTTCTACAGTGATCCTAATACATCACATATTCATGATTTCATGGAAGATGACCCAACGTCTTCAGGTAATTGTTATACTTAGGCAGATTTCAGTTTGGTGGGCTACAGGTGTGCTGAGCATATGTTTAATGTATGACTGAGACATTGCTATGAACAAAAACAAGAATTATATAAAAAAAAAATCACAGATTCAGATATTTTATCATTATTATTGTTTGATTTAGTCTTACATAATTAAAATATCTTTCAGTATGGAGCATAAAGAAACCATTAAAACCTTGCCATTGTGAAGTTGGAAATCCACTCCTTCTAAACTGAAGACCAAATTGATGTTAGAAAAATGTCATAATTGCCATGGGAATATTATTATCTATCACATTTTGCAATATGTTGAAATTTCTTATTCTAATACAAGTTTGCGTAGAGTTCCTTCTTTGTATGTTGCACCGGAGCCATGTACCATTAAAATCCTAAATATATATGTAATAGTAACCGCACTCCCTGATTTCAGCTTCATGGTTAAAGAATTCTTAACAAAAATTGAAAACATGAAAAGATCCTCTTACTAACCGCTCCGCCAATTCAATAAGACTCTGACTGACTTCATTGTTTCAACCAGCTGGTCCAAAATGGCATTGTTCCTAATCCTATTCATTTGTTTCGACAACGTGCTTAAAATATTTACAACTATTTATTGTTCAGCCATGATAAGACGTCAGACACGCAGTGCAACTGCTTTTGTTCTGGCAGCAACCTTTGTCAATACTCCTAATGAATACGTCTGTATTTTCGAAAATGAGCTGTTATCACCGTAAAAGTGTTAAATTCTTCTCCAATGCTCAGTTTATCTTTCAAAAACAACTAGTTTCTTGATATAAAAACAAAAATCATGTCGTTTTCCCCATGGGAATCAAAGCCGAAAGATCGCACTACATTATCAGTAAATCTCTTCCGTGTTGCGTTCACCATGAAGTCGCTGAACTGTCATTAACATATTTAAATGAGCTATGGTAATTTAAACAACTTGGCACCATCCAGCATTTTGATTGGTTAATTAGCGACTTGACCAATCTGGTCTTGTGTGCATTCAAAAAACATGGCAGATATCGTATCGCATCGATCATTTACATTTGACTGAAATCATTCATTCACGCTGAAACTAAGTTGCATTTCATAACAATTCAACGAATTTATTTTTCATGCGTTATTATGATCACTACTGAGAAATAATCAACAATTTCAACACTTTGAAAACAATTAAGTTATTCACTTGTCAACCGCAGCATGGCCGGATTGCGCTATCGTACCGTGATAATTTGCTACTACCGTTAGCAATGCATTCGTGTTTGTTTTTATTATTTGAAACTTTTGTTATAATATACTTTCCGTTCAATAAATAATTACATGTTTTTCAACATTTTGTGATGCCCATTTCAGTATGGCCTTTCATCGCCTAAATTAGAGTGATGCCTATATTGTTTGTTTTGTGCACGTGTTGGGAAAAAATTACCATGCCATTTTAGTGATTGCAATATGTATGTAATATAAATCGCACTCCGAACTTGAGCTTTGGACCCCAATTTTTAAATTGATACATTGTAATATAAACCGTGGTTTATATTATGACTTTTACGATACTAGTGTATTACTTTCATTTTATCATCAAGGTTTCAGTATTTTAACTATGTTTTATTTTTAGGTGCTGTCTCTCAAGTACTAGACAGTCTAGAAGAAATTCAGTGTCTTTCAGATGGCAATGAAAAAGATGTAGATTTCCTTCATAGTATATTTGAAGATACTCGACTTCATGCATTGTTAGACGTAAGTACAAATGATTGTTTATGTCAGGGTTGACAATAAAAACATGTTAATTTGAATCTCAATTTGAATTATGCAGATGCTCATGAAATTTAAAATTTTTAATAGGGTTCAGTTTAATTAATTAGTCCCTGTTCGGACGCAGTCAGAAAACGGGGACTTATGTTTTGACCTCTGTGCGTGCGTCTGTGCGTGCGTCCGGACCTGTATGCCTGGACCAAT